AAAGATAATTGTTACCATTATTTACATAATGCACTATTTACACAAACTAAAAATATAAGTAAATCAGTGAGTCCCGCAGCCTGTGTGCTTCAGTGCTGTTGTCGGCCTAAGTCGCATCCCCTGCCGCCTGGGTACACTATCTAGATCATCGTCATCAAGCCGCTTCTTTATGTGAGGATGTGCAGCAGCATCGACACCACAACTGGCAGGATCGGAAGAATATGTCGCCGGGCCGTCAGCAACCTACAAAACAAGTAGTAATCTTAGCATATGAAAAAGTATATTTGTATTGTACGTGTTGAGGCAAAAAATATTTTCTCACCGTGGTCTCGTCGGCCGCCTGAGTATATGCATCCGTGGTGTCCTCATCAAAGCATGTAGTGGCCTCAAAGATGGGCTGAGACAAAACATACATAAGAAAGTTAAAAATTAATTAGTGTCAGCTTATTAAGGAAAAGAAAGCAAATTGAAATTTTAAAGTAATACAAACATACCTACCCTTGTGGTAGATCCGCATCAACCGCCGGGGATGAGTCATAACTCAACCAGCGCCCTCTATCCACATCCCGGGTGGGCCGATCCTCAGTTGCGGTAGATGGGCATGCAAAGTACTGGTCTACATCCCCGTCGAATGTACCCGTGATCGACAATGCTCCTGACGGGGTGACCTGCGATGCTGGCAGAGATAGCTGAAGGCTGTACGAAGGCATGCTGCTGGAAGGTTCATCTACCCGAGGTATATAACCCGGCTGATCATCTCCAAGCACCTCAACTCCAAAATCCTCATCATGTCCCTCAATAGGTGGGTCGACAGGTGCCTCAACGCCCCCTTGCTGGGGACCACATCCTCACCATCCCCCGCGACCCCCGCGATCCCGTGGGGCACCCCTACCTCGTGTGGCACCCCGCCCTCGTGCCCTATCCCTACCTAGTGGGATACCCCTACCCCAATGGTAGTCCTCTGGCGCCGCATACTGAGCCTCGTGGTCCAACCTCACGGCATCTCTCGCCTGAAACAGGGTCCGACGAGCCAACTGTGCCACCCGCCGGCCATAGTCAACCACTGCAGGGATGTCGGTATGCTGCTGCATCTCCTGTCCCAACTAGAAGAGGTGATGATGCCCAATAGCCTGTGAAACATTTAAAATATTAATTAAATAACAATATATCACAATTATACGATATTAAAAAGCCAAAAAGCATACCAGTTCCTCGTGCCTCCCGGCGTATGGTCTGTAGCGCTTGCCAAGTACATGAATGGGCTTCCCGATAATCAGTCGGGGTGTGACGGCGGTACCATGACGCATACAGATGGATAGTGGTCTACTGGGTAAATGTAGGTGCTGGCGGAATATGGTCAGCTCGCTGCTCCTCCCAAATTCGGACTTGCTGCTCTAGTCATCCCATATATATATCGTCCAGCCTGGCACGGTCATCCCGCTGATAGTGTATAGCCACCCATCCAGGCTCCCCTGGTATAGGCTGGGGACGATGAAACTGGCGAAGCACACGCTTTGTGGCATGATACTCAACCATATCGAAGAAGATCATTGGGACGGAGGTGCTCCAAAGCAGTCGATCGACTAAGCAATAAATGGGAAGCTGAGCTAGCAACTCGTCGCTGTCTGGCATCCAGATGAACTACCAAATAATAACATAAAAGTGAGTATGTGCAACACAACTCAATTTAAAACAAGTAAGTGTAGGTACATATTTACTTGTCCGTCCACCAGCATATCTAGCACATCCCTGATAAGGGGAGATTATGATGAGCATCGGTCCCTTGGTAGTTCCCACACCGAAGAATCCACCTAGAAGCTAGAGGGAGAAACGGATAAGCCTCACCGGGCGCAAGTGGTGGTAGAGGTGGCTGCAACGGCATAATTCGCTGTCAGGCCCAGCTATACTGGGGTAAAACATCAAGCCGCTGAAGATGATGGAGAAAGCGCATACTCACGAGACTCCCCGAAGTGTTCGGGAACAAGACACAGCCGAAAAACAGGAGCAGCGCCAACCGCGTGTACCTCTCAATATGGAGATCCTCTGTCTCATCCGTAATGTCTGGGTACAAAACAACCATATGATCACTGATGGCTGACAAAGCAACGCGTGTGCTCCCAACGTCACCCTGAGGTCTATAACCAGTAAAATACCCCATCATATCCAAAAAATGTGCACGCATCATGGATCTAATGTACTGGGGCAATGCCACGGCCCATCCATCTACGCGTAGCCCGTATAAAACCTGAACATCTTCCAGCGTGATGGTGGCCTCTCCAGTGGGCAAGCGAAAAGTGTGCGTCTCCGGTCGCCACCGCTCTACCAAGGCTGTGATGAGAGACCAATCAAGCTGCATCCATCCAAGCTCAAAAATCGTATAGAAGCCCGTAGCTTGTAGGCGCGCGACTACGCGGGCATGGAAAAGATGATCCACGATGAACTCCCACAAATCGTCAGGTCTCCTGGGGCGGAGAGCCTGCATCGATAGTTGTCCCTCCCATACAAAGGAGGACCTATGGTCGCCTTGCAACACTAGTAGCTGATCCTCGGCAGGTCCAGGATGCGCAGGCGGAGGAAAGTCCATGTCGTATACTATAATTTAAACAAAATTAATTGTGTGTGTTAGTTAAGGAATTAAATAATTAATTATGTTTAATATTGGACTGAATAATTATGTATGGGTTCCAGGCTCGATATTTGAGGCCCGGTAACACCAAGTTATCCTTAATTATTATGCGTGTCAATTTCAACATTTTTAGAATTTTGTTAGCTTAATAAATTAATAATTAATTATATTTAATATTGGACTGAACAATTATGTATGGGTTCCAAGCTTGATTTTTGAGGCCCGGTAGCACCGAGTTATCCTTAATTATTATGCGTGTCAATTTCAACATTTTTAGAATTTTGCTAGTTTAAGGATTTAAATTAAAAATTATTGAATTGGACTGAATAATTATGTATAAGTTCTAGGCTAGATATTTGAGGCCCGGTAGCACCAAGTTATCCTTAATTGTTATGCGTGTCAATTTCAATATTTTTAGAATTTTGTTAGCTTAATAAATTCAATAATTAATTGTATTTAATATTGGACTGAATAATTATATATGGGTTCCAGACTTGATTTTTTAGGCCCGGTAGCACCGAGTTATCCTTAATTATTATGCGTGACAACTTCAACATTTTTAGAATTTTGCTAGTTTAAGGAATTAAATTAAAAATAATTGAATTGGACTGAATAATTATGTATGGGTTCCAGGCTCGATATTTGAGGCCTGGTAGCACCAAGTTATCCTTAATTATTATGCGCGTCAATTTCAACTTTTTTAGAATTTTGCTAGTTTAAGGAATCAAATTAAAAATTATTGAATTGGACTGAATAATTATGTATGGGTTCCAGGCTCGATATTTGAGGCCCGGTAGCACCAAGTTATCCTTAATTATTATGCGCGTCAATTTCAACTTTTTTAGAATTTTGTTAGTTTAAGGAATTAAATAATTAATTATGTTTAATATTGGACTAAATAATTATGTATGGGTTCCAGACTCGATATTGGAGTTAATTTTACAATATATATTAGAGTTTGTAGTTACTACATACTTAAACTACATAGACTCTACGCTAAAAGGTTCTACATTTTACTACGCTAAAAGGCTCTATATTTTACTACGCTAAAAGGCTCTATATTTTACTACGCTAAAAGACTCTATATTTTACTACACTAAAAAGCTCTACATTTTACTACGCTAAAAGGCTACTATTACATATAAAAACAACTAACATAAAATATAAATATGAACAACAAACAAAATAAATAATATTAATTTTTTAACAATACAAATAATTTATCAAATTTTAATAATTTTTTGTATCAAAGCTAATAAATCAATCCGGGTATAAATAAGATACAAATTTAAACACAAACATAACACAAATTAACATGGAAACACATTAAACAATACAAATATGCATGTACTATATGAGCTTCGACATAAACAAAATCGAAATACTTCGATTTAAGTTTTTTGAATTTGATTGAAATCGAAGTTTTGCACCCGAAAGAAGGAATCCAAAG